ATCTCATATATGATAAAAATAATCGAAAGAAGCTGGCTGTCACTTTCTGCTTTTATAGTTACTGAAACAGTCTTAAGGCATAAGGCGATATATTTCAAATGATATCTTCACTGTTAGTCTGCCGACCACATACAGCAGAGATGCACTTCGAGTGGTAGATCAGATGTTGAAAGGTATTTCGCCGGTGCAATTGGCTAAACTGCCTGTCTGAAACTTTCATGAGACTTAATCCATGCGCTTTGTTCTGCAGCTGAGCTTTTTTAGTTTACTCAAAAGTAAGGAATGCGGTTGCGGTTTTTAGTGACGATGGCCAAGGTATCACTAAAGCTTTGACGGGGTTTGTTTTTTCTTCTGCATGGCGGTTTTCAAGTTAGCAATTCCGTTGCTACCGGACTCGAGAAGAACGATTGCCTAGATGTTGGCTGTCACAAGCTGAGGAACGGCGGCATCCTCGTTCCTCAGCAGGGACAAGTGATCGGCCGTAGACGTCTGGCTTCCGCTGAACACCAATAAAGTTCTAAGCTGGCGACAGCCTTTAGTAATGTAGTTCGGACATGAGTCAGCCAGCAGCGATGCATTCCGACTCGTCGCAAAGACGGTCGCAGCAAAGATGCAGAGAACCGGTTGAGTCTCCGCCGGGCACGACGGAGGATTACTGCACCGTTGGCTGTCAGCAGCACAGAACCACAGAGGTTGTAAAATTGAACACTGAATATCCGCTTTGACATGAGACCCCTCGCAGCCGATTTATTAATTTTGGAGTCTGGCTTACTTCTCGCATTTTTATCAGATATAACTACATGCTGTTACATTCCTGCCATAACTGCTTATCATTAAGCGATTTCTCAAAACGATGAATGTACCGCCAAATGACGATTTATGAAACATTCCTATGCATCATAAATGGCGTGTATCACCATACATTTGCGACACTTCATAAATGAATGGAAATAAGGATTTGAGTTAATTCTTTGAAGTATGAGGTAAACCTCGATGTCCAGTGCTACCCCTTATGATGACGTCGCCATTCCAGGCTTTGCCTCGTCGTGTCTGTCCGACGCCGCTCGCATGCCGGGCTGTGAATCCGTGAGTCATTGCATTTGTTAGCTGGCAGCGAATGTTGCCGGACTGACGTGGTTGTCGTCGTCGTAAAGCGAGGCTAGCACAGATGCTGTCGGCAAACAGAGACGACGGGTGCCTGCCTGCTTGCCAGGCCAGCCAGCTGCTACCTCGGCTGCTGGCCAAAGCAGTTTTTCACCACGGTCTCCATCTGGCGACGGAGCACGCACGAGCTCGAGCCTTGACGCCCGGGAGGAGGATTAAAGCTAGAAAAATGCGACAAGGTTATAAATAGCCCCAATGGCGTGTATCACCCGAAACCCTCGAGCATGTGCTTGCTTTCAGCAGGCTTGGCTAGTCATCGTCGCCGTCCTCGTCTTCGTCTTCGACTTCGTCAGCAACAGCAGCCACCACGGCAGCACACAGCAACTGCCACCGCAGCACTCTGTCGTCAGCGTTCTGATTGGTGTTTACCTCCGTCTCTCGTTATTCGCCTCTGCAGCCTCTGCAACCTCTGTTCCACATCTTCTCGCTCTGAGCGTTCGTAGTCACTCGTGCTTACGCTTTGTCACTACTCGACCTACTTCTTTGATCAATTCGCTCACGCGGTAAGGTGGACACTTTCTATGCTTTGCTTTGTTGTTATTGTTCTAGCACCCTTCACCCCTGAATTGAATACGGGGTACCGTTCAGCTGTTTATACAACTGCTTCCTATAGTTTTTCCATTCCATTTTGGCTGACGTGCTTTGCAAGACGAAGACGAAGACGAAGACAACAGTACGACTTAGCAGGCATCCAAGACTGCCATTTAATGCCCCCATGTAAACAGTCATCATTACGGTTGTTTCGCCCCTGTAAAATTACGGGTTAGGGAGCTGCAAACTTTAGCAACACTTATGGATGTTTTCACCGTGGTGGTAGAAACACTCATTCGTTAATTTCAAATCTGTATCTGGATGTTTGAACATATTTAATTGAAAGTTTTTTTCTTCAAGGGATTTAGATATTCATTTCTGTTTTTATTTGTGAACAAATTTTCGCTCCGCGCTATGGTTCAATTAACTTTGGATGTTTCTCCAGGTCGTGGAAAAGTTTAAGTACAAGTCAGTTGGAAAGATATAAAACGGCTCTTATTGATAGTAGATAAAGAACGGAGGGTTTCAGGCCTGGAATATCTACAGCGGTGTTCCTTATTTAGCATAGATTTACCACAAGTTTACGTGCTAACTTGAACGACGACTCATTGCCTTTAAATAACTTCTTGAAGTCATTCCTATACCATGCCGTGCATCAATTGAATCTGATTGACCTTCCGGTTCCATGGCTGGCAGTACGAAGTAATATCTTCGGTAATTTTAATTATCGATGGTGTGCAAATTCATAGTTGGGGACAGCAAACAACGCCGATGTTAACACTTTATATGCCAATGCATTTGGCTACGCACACCGTAGCATCTTCAGGGCAATAACGTGTTAACCGATGCATTGATTATTGCCTTCAACCATGAATCTACAGTTTCAGCAACGGGTCCAAAACCGGAAATATTGAGTCATATTTTTCAGAATCTTTAGTTTCCCGTATTTTTGAAGAATCCAAGTATTCATTTGGTGGGTTACAGCGGGTGTATAGTTTGCCGATTGTTGAACCGGTAATTTGTTTAACGTTGCTTGATAACAGATTACTGTAGCGGGTAGGAACTTGGTTCATGAGTTGAGTGCGGAGCTCTCTACTTGCTGTTTGACAGAAGGTTGACAGCATGACACAAAAGTCTTCTGTCGTCTCGTTCGTAACCACTGATTGAGATCTTGATCTGAAGTGTCAAACGACACCCTCTAGGGACCTACACCAGGCAGACGGACAGACGAACGGAAACGGAAGGGTCTGCGTCTCCTCCACCGTACAGCATAGTTTTTCGTGTTCCGGCAGTGTCGCCTCATCGCTGACCGATTGATTTTTGCAGAATCTGCGCGTTCGTGATTATTCTCATGCCGCCACAGTGTCCCCGCTGTAAAAAACCGGTGTACGCCGCCGAGGAGCGAGTGGCCGGCGGATACAAATATCATAACGTGTGCTTCAAATGCTGTAAGCGATGTGTTTTTGCATTGTGAGGTAACGTGCTGCTTTTGTAGATTCTCCTGATTGCTGTGTTGTTGACTGCGTTGGACCAGAAGGGGGAAAATGCCCTTTAAACCGATCGAAGTTCCTAAATGCCCTAAGTGCGGAAAGTCAGTTTACGCTGCCGAGGAGATGGTAGCCGGCGGATACAAGTGGCATAAGTTCTGCTTCAAATGCAGTAAGCGAATGTTTCGGCCAGTCCCTTGTTGTATGTGTCTCACTGTGACGCTCTGTCGATGGTCAGTCACGCTCGATCTGTCTTTTTTTACGACGACGACCACGACACTTCGTTATTTCGTGTCCGTCCGTTTCCTGTCGCCGCGCTTTCGCCTGATGCGACAGGAAACACGAAGCACTGCACCGAGTCCCGAGTCGTCGCTGTTCTACATAATCTTCCAGGCAAAGGAAAAATTGACCAGGTTTTCAGTGCTTTCTCCCTTCTGTTCCCGGCCGGTTCGCTTTTGCGCTCTTCGCGCTGCTACCTGCTGAACGCACATATAGTTTACTGTAAAATACTGTACTGGCTTGACGACGAAGTTATAGAATAGCTTGAATGCGCCTGCCATGGTGGTGCGTGCGGATGATCTAGATTTCTCCTTTGCGTTGCTGGAAGATTATTATTCCTTAGAGATCATCTTTGCGCCGCTGTTTGCGTGCGTGTGTGCGTGCTCGTCGTCTATACTTTGTTTATTATTAGTTTATTATTTGTTAGTTTTCGCTTCTTTTCCTGATTGCTTGCTGTCAAGCGTCTCGTGTTTCGTATTTTCCCTCTGTTTTTTCGTAGTTGTGGTCTGTGTTCTGTTTTGTGTATTTGTGCTACTTTTCCCATAGCGATGTGTAACAAGCTGCTCGATTCGATGACCGTCGCCGAGCACGAGGCACCGCTGTACTGCAAGCAATGTCACGGCCGAAAGTACGGTCCCAAGGGCGTCGGGTTCGGCATCGGCGCCGGCGCCCTCTCAATGGACACCGGAGAGCAGTTTGGCAACACTTCGGTAGAAATGACGTAAGTATGGATGAATAGGGATAAGTAAACTATGAAAAGCCAGCAACCGTTTGCTGTCCTGCACCACTCTTACTGTCCGTTTCTGTATCTGTCTGTCCCTTTGTCCATTTGTCTGTCACTTTCGTAATGCTGCATGCCACGCTTTCATTCATTCGTTCGTTACAGTATTCCCGTTGACGACGTCACTGCTGCTGTTGCCGCTGCGACAGCAGGTCCTACAGTAATCGTTTACGTATTGCACCGTGTTTTAGCGATGTGCAATAAGCTGCTGGATTCAACGACCGTGTCCGAGCATGGCACTGAGTTGTTCTGCAAAACGTGTCATGGCAGAAAGTACGGCCCTAAGGGAGTCGGCTTTGGGTTAGGAGCCGGAACGCTTACGACAGACACGGGCGAACGATATGGAAACACCTCATGCGAAATGTCGTAAGTAAACGCTTTCTTTGAGTGGCTTTAAGCCTATGACAGATCAGATTTTGATTCAGACGCTTCGCAGCTTTGCTGCTAAATTCCTTCCGCTAATCCGTAAATCCACCGTAATTTCGGCTTCCACCATTTACCGTTTCTTTTCGATCTTTTCTTCCTTCTGCGTTTCCAAACCTTCGCGAACATCTGAACATTGCATTGTTTGCACTGACGGATTTCATCATAAATAATCAATTATTGGCATTCCTTGCTTCCATGTAGCCATTAGTTTTTTTTAATTTTGTTTGCCGTTTGTTCCTTGTTAACGACAGCTTTTGACCATCGTTTGTTTAGGAACCGACCTCTGACAGCGGAAGCCTTCACAGCACCAGTGAATCCGTCTCACCGATAATCACGAAAACAACAAGCTCACGTACCAGTAGTCAGGCGGCTATGAATTTTCACTGTATCTTTTGGTTAGTAATTCTCGTAAAAATCTCTTGTTGCTTACTGGCCATTCATTCATTACTGTTGACACTGAAAAACTGTAAGTCTCGATAAGTAAGTAATGTTCCTTTTGTTATGTTTTCAACCCATATTTAATCAGTTTCTGCATTTTGAAGTTCTTTTGTACAATCTGTTATGCATCACCGTAGAATAAACAATAAACCTACGTAAACGTCTAAAGCCCATTGGAAGATAAAACAACAGTCGACAAATGAACGAATGACGGTCATGCTTACAGGGGTAGGATTGTGTCACCTGAATTTTGTATGTCATTTACTGCGGAGTTTATAATAAACAATATTTTTTCTTACTGTTCGTTACTCATATTATTGAAGCAGGTAGACACGAAGTGTATCGATTTTTTGTCTAATTTCTGCATGAAAATAATATTTAATTGTAGATTCGCCTTGTTTTTTCAAACCTGAATGTTTCAAACCTGAAGTTTAAATATATCATTGGCAGTAATTTTAGCAGTAGCATATCTGAAGTATCGTCTCGTGACATCTTTCATGTCGAACGTGAAGTCGCTCTAGCGAACAGAAGGACGTGCGATACATCTGACACTGCAGATACTCAAAAATCTTAGAGCTCTGGCGCTTAAAGCGCTTAAATGCCCCATTGTCAATTAAGAGCAAAAGGGTGACGCAATATGCTGTGAAATTTTGTCTTGGAGAAATTATGCCCTGTTAGCAGTATTATGATATAGATACAATAAATCCAACAAAAGATTTTAAGATGCTGAAAAGCGAACATGACGATTTTGTCTAATGCACAAAACTTTGATTCAATAATGATCAACACTATGTTTTAAACCTTTGTCTGTTATAATCTGACAAGAAGCTTTTGGGGGTGCGTTGCAGTTGCTTTACACCGCATCGTAACAAAATGAAGCTCCTCAAATCCAAGCTTCATGGGGACAATGACCGAACTACAAAGTAATGTTGCAAGACGAAATATGGTGGTTATAATCGACTTATTCTCCTCGGCCATGAGATCATCCCCAAAGTTGCCAGTTGATTATCAGATTTCATGTGAAGAGGAAAGAGGACATCAGCCTGCCTTCCGTAGTAAAAACAGATCCTTTTGAATTTAACTTAGCATATCAATATCAGCAGGAGACTGCACTTATGCAAGAATCAATGGCATGACTCAGACAACATGACAATAAATTATTCAGAATCAAAAAGTATTGCTTTATCCTCAGGACTGAAGTGCGTTTCCTGCATACTTTACCTTTAATTTGAAATGCAAATATTACCGCTTCACATGTGCTTTCAAGTGCTAATTCTCATCAATATGGATCATATAATTTAGTTTGCTAACTCAGTGTAATTTTAGTAAAGCTCTTAGGCACAATAGTGCATATTTTGATGCTGCTTAATGTGCAAGTGATATTTTTAAGTGGTTCTGCAGGCTGGATAGCATCATTTGCATAGTAGTCGTTATTGGACGTTCCGTTAATAACTTCTTAAATGCTTACAGGTTCCAAGGCCATGGATGGCTGGAAGTGGAAGAAACTTCTGATTCCTTCCTTAGTAGCACAAAAGGCAAAAATAGATCTTTATCTAGCAGCGACCTGACATTGCAACCGACCTTCAGTCATTATCAGGGAAAGCATATTTCTCTGACGCACAGCAGGAGCGAACAGTATTCTCTGTTAGCTTTTTTTACGACACCAGTCAATAAAGATCACCCTTAAATAAATCCATGCTTTGAGAAATCTTGCCTCACAATAAAAAGTGGTTGTCCCCCGAGGATT